TTTGTACTCGAAAGGTGTTTCTCGGGCACCACTGCCCACTCTAAATATTAATATTTCTAAGTCTTAATGTTCAGTGACCACTTTATTCAGAGGTCTTCATGCATTATAAGGTACGTGGGTAAATAACGATTTTTTTTTTNTTTTTTTTTTTTTTTTTTTTTTTTTTTTTTTTTTTTTTTTAAGTATTGGAAGTAGCTAAACTCTATTTAAAAGGGTTTAACTAATCTGGTCCGTCAATATTAAATTAAGCTAATTTCTTAGCAGCACTTCAATTTATTCATGAACCAATCAGAAGAAAACGAAACTATTTCACATAAATTAAACGAGATTCATATTTAGTAAAAAGGAAGGAAAAACATCTTAGTGATGAGACTTTTGGTTCGTCAGGTAATGATGTAATAATTATTGATCATGTGTTTTATTGTGTTTAATAATTATTGACCTGTCCCAGTATCTTCTACGTTAAAGGCTTCCATCGAACCAATTTTCCGATTTCTAAAACCTGAGAAAAACGCTGGTTTTAAACCCCAAAAAGATGTTAACAAGCAGCACTATATAAGTCATGCTTGCGTAACATGTCCCGAATGATTTTCGGTTTTTCGATTTTGGAGATCGATTGATGCCTTTGTCGAGTAAAGACGTGTCTTATCTCTGAGCGAATAATGCCGTACAACAGAACAGCACGCGGCGGAAAGGTGCTACCGCCTAGCCGCCCAATCACACCTCAGCAGGAGGAATCGAATGGAGAGTACGTGGATGTTATCGTCTACGATTCATATGAAGAAGCCATCAAGGCCAGTAAAGTCCACCCAAAATTCATCATGCGTCCAGATTCAACTCAACTTCCAGTTGCATTCTACAGTTGGTTCAGTGATGATGAACTAAACGAGATAAAAGAACTATTTCAGACTTTTCTCAATTCCTGCGAATATGGACAGATTTTCGACCACTTTCAAAAAATGCTTGACACGGTCTTAGTAGTTCGCAAGTTGAGGAGAGATAGAAAAAGAAGGGAAGAAAGGAGAAAACAGACCGAAAAGGAGGAACCAATACCAAGACATGAAACTACTAGCGTTCCCGAGCCAACCACTACAACGCCCGAAAGTAACACACCAACAGCCGAAATCATCCCTCCCCCCGCGGTGGAAAATACGGAGCTTAGTGTCGAGGCCACGGCCTCAGACTCTGAAAATATAGAACAACCTCCAGGGAAGAAGAGGAGAAAGAGGAAGAAGAAGCAAAGCAAAGCAAAATCAGCAAGGCAGAAAACCAGCTCCTCNTTCCATCGAACCAATTTTCCGATTTCTGAAACCTGAGAAAAACGTTGGTTTTAAACCCCAAAAAGATATTAACAAGCAGCACTGTAAAAGTCATGCTTGCGTAACATGTCCCGTATAACAGTTTTATATAAACTTGTAACACTATAACTATACTAGTCACAGTTCATAAATTTGATATTACATTTCTTATTACGCTATTAAACAACTGTTTTGAGTCACTTATGCTCTTAATCATAAATACTCAATATTTTTAAGATTCACAAGATTTAGAAAGAGGTGGTAGGAATTAGGCTACAGATTTTAAGTAGCTGAATTACGCAAATTATTTAAATATTTGAAATATAATTGCCAGTGACTCGTGACTGATAAAAATTTTAATATGAAAAGTGATACAATTTAGGCAAACTTTCCTCTTACATCTTTCTGCTTCAATTTCTCAAGATTATTCAATTCCACAAATGCTATATTTGTTTTATTCGAATCTACCACTTACCTTGAAGAAAATTTCTTTACAATAAATTATTTGTTCTTTATGTAACACATCAATAGAATAACACAGTATAATATAGCATTCTCTATTAACAGCCCGTTGTTTATCAAATGAGACTTTCATTGTTGAAACTGAATTCTTAGCTTATGGTTTAAAAGGTTTGGATACAATCAGCTATTATACGATGATGGTTCTAACCTAACTTATTTAAAAATACTTTACCTCATCATGTCTCCTCATTGATGTGAAATTAACCTGTCTATCTTCAGTTGGTTTCGTGCGATTTCCTATAAATAGCATCAGTAATCTTGTCAAAAATGACATGCCCCGATTTAGTTCAAATCTCCTCTACTCAATAAATCTCAAAATGTGTTAAAAGCTTTTTTTTGTGCATATAATAAAATAATGATTATGTATAAAGTGAACAATAAAAAAAACATGTTTAATTCAAAATAACTTTTGATATAATAATCAGATTTCCATGAATACAATTTTTATAGTCCGAAAGACTCTTTATGTATGATAATTAATTAGTGTCCTTTTTTTCTTCTTCCTTTGTTAAGAAAGTAAACAGCAATTATTGCCAACACTTAGAAGAACAGACTTTTTTTTTACTTTTAGAATGTTTACATACTTTTACATAAGTTTCAAATTCGATTTAGATTTTTATAAATATATACTTTTTACCACACTTCATTTAAAAATTAAATTGGCCTTTTTTTCCTATTGCCCTCATCAATAATTTCACTTCTCTTTTAAAGGCAGAGTTAGCTCATGCATACACGCCACCCCTCTGATGAATAAGGGATGAAATTAACAGAACAGAGTAAGAAAGAAATCCACTCAATAAATGGGCTAATCAGTTTATAAATAAAAAATTAGAAATCACAATATAGTAAACAAAAACAAATTATTTTCTTCATTAAAATACCGGGTTTAGCTTAGCTTTTAAATAAGTCTGCAAAAGATTTTTTAAACTTAAAATATATGTTTCGTTGTTTCTAATCCCCAAGAGGTCCTTCCCAATTAGACCAATTCCATAAGTCCAAAAATGTCCAGGAAGTCTAAAAACAGATGAGGTTTAAATCCCTTCCCTAATCCTGAGGTTCTCCCTCAAATCCTGCTAGCTGCCTCACCGTGGCGAGGGGGTGCCACTGGGCGGAATGGGCGAAGTACGTCGGGAGCTTAGCTCCTGGTAGGGCCACCCTAGGCGTGAAGGCCATTCCATTATGCCCAGCTAATGCTAGCAGGTGAAACTATGGAGCTAAATCAGTCTTCTACCTTTGGTGCTCCAGGTCACTTTCGGCCAACAGAAGCTGTAACACCTTCCCCTGTACCATGAGTCTAAAATATATTCTACCCATCAAACATCTTTTGAATTTCACCTATTATTAACTATACATTTGTATATGGTGTGTGTGTATATGTATATGCTGTGTGCCTTAAAATGTAGTTTGTGAATGTCGAATAAAGAATTTAAATTTTTTAACAATTATTTTGAAAATGTGTACAATGTGGAAAGTAAAAAAGGTTACACCCTGAATAACTTTTGATCTTGTAATAGGATATAAACATACTAATAAGCAATCTTAAAAACATACTTTCTCTGAATAAACTTACATGGTTCATTTCAATGGATTTGGATTGACACCAATGGACCTAATGGTCATACCACTTAAATTCAGTTTTTATTTTTGTGTGAAAGAAAGTAATGACACAAATCAAAAAATAAATATTTGTTGTTGTTGCCTATCCTCTTCGGGCCTGAGGAAATCAGACCAGATCTATAAAACCGTTGACCTGAATGAAATCTAAGACCAAAAGAGGAGTAGAGTAGATATAAATATTTGTAACTCTCTGTAAAACTTTCACTGAAAGATAGTTTCAGGCAAAAAAAAATAATTTTGGAAAACTACTTTTTAAAAATCTTTTTATTACATAATGATCAAAATTATTGGTCATTATTTAGTTGAGTGAGCAAATTTCAACACCCTTAAATTTAAATCAAATTAGATAAAAAAAAAATTCTTAAAACTTCGTGAAAAAAAATCTGTTGATCATTTATGTTGTTATTCCTAAAAAATAAAACTTATTATTTTTGCAGCTCAAGAACTTTTAAGCCGATTTCACTCAAATTAAAGATTTCAACTCCTAAAACTATAGTTTAAGGAGAAGCAACAATTAGTATACCTTACAATAAAAAAAAAAAAAATTTTATAATTTTCATCAGTCTCCTAATTAAACTATACCATAACTACTATGTGGCCATTGATTGCAAATAAGTATCATTAATAATCGTAATTTTGATCACAAATGTAATCATGATAAATGATCACAGGAAATCAAGTTCACACACAATATCTTTCATGATTATGTGTTACGAATCTTCAGGATCTAGAGCCAGCTAGATACCATTCAGAAGCTCGTACTTCCTGTCAAAAATCACAAAATTAAACACATTAAAAGATACAAATAAATATCATTCAACTCTATACCCAAATAATCAAGAATATGTTTCGGGAAGAAGCTGGATTGTCCCTTGACACTAGTTGGAAAGACCTATACCCCAAATTCAAATGTCGAGCATTTTTAATGACCACTTAAGAATCAAAACATAACATAATAAAGTAATCATAAGCCACAACTACATTATTTGTCATTGCAATATTTAAGTTTTTTAATGCTTTTTATTCGTATTTTTGTTCACTAAAATAAAGTTTCATGTCAAGATAAGTGTTTTGTGACAAAAATAAAGCAATTTGAATTAATTAGAATTGTAAACATGCTTTATGATTATACAAATGCATGTGAGCATAATTAATTTATTATATTTATTATTGGGATTACATCCAATAACTTAATCATCGAAGATATGTTTTGAGTCCTGATATCTGAAATTATCTGCACATAACTATTAGTTGGAAAACCTAAAATGGGTCTCTCAAATAATGGCTAAATGAAAATGTTATTAGATCAAAAGTTATTCAGAGTATAACTTTATTTATTTTGTACATTGTACGTTAAAATTAAAACCGACATTAAATCATATAAAGTGAGATATATAGGCAAATATATATAGAAATATATAGCGGAGAGAAATCAGGGTTTTAACAATATTTGGCTAGTTATATATCTGCAGTAAAAATAATTTAAACAACTGATTGTTTCATAATAAGCCAAACAATTATTTTAAAAAGATAGTTTTAGAATGTAAAAATTTGCAACACATATGAATTTATTGCATTTGTTTATTGAACTAAATGCATATAAATCACAAGATTCAAACATTCTTAGTGAAAAAAAAATTCCCATATCAAATATTTGAAGAAAAAAATCACATTAAAACAATTATTGACATTATATGTACAAAAATATGAGAATATATACCAATAAGACAAGAACCTTCATTTAAAAAAAAAAAGACAGACAATACTAACAGAGCATACTGATAGGCTTCTGAAATTAAAAGACAACTTAAAGTGATTAAGCTAATTATGTAATGTTCAACATGTCAGTATATAATAAAAACAAGCCACCCATAAATCAGAAATAAGCATAAAAGTAATAAAGAAATACTTAAAGACACAGCAAAACTTGCTTAAAAGAGAGAAATATAGAACTAAAGGAATATAATACTAATTAAAAGTAAAAAACAGAAAAACATTTCTTAACTTTGTACATTTTTATATTTCAGATAATTTTATTAATTTTTATTTAGAAGCTCATTTTACATAACCAGTCTTTTTCCCATAAACTGAGAATTTATCACAAAATTTTTTTCTGTAAATCACAATACACAAACAGTGAAAAAAAACCTTCTAATCTTAACCACAAAAAACTTATTTGCAATTTAAATAAAACAAGATATTTTTTAATACAATCTGACCTGGTAAATATGAAAGAAATCTAGTAATTTAAAAATACAGTTTAGATACTGATCTAGATACTGCTTAGAAGAAAAATGTAGATATATGTATTAGTCTGTCTAAAAGAAATAGGCAAATCAGGATCCACTTTTTATTCATGAATCGTGAACTATTTTAACAGCAATCACTCCATTTTTCAACAATCTACAGTTAAATTTATTTATATTTGGAATGAGAGTTTGAAAAAAAAGTGACAAAAAATGTCATCAATGAGGGATTCAAAATATTTTCCTCAATTTAAGGCTACTATTAAGAATATATGTTGAATTAATTAGAAATATAATTAAAGTTTAACAACGTTTAAATCTGCATAAAAACTATTAAGTTAAACCAAAATTATCATTGCTACACTTATTACAGTGGCATTTTCAATCTCTCAAAATATTTTGGCACAAAAGACCAATAATATAATCAGTTTTTTAAAAATTCTAAATTGCAATTTCGCTATGATAAAAAATTATAATTATTTTAACTGTACATTCTACTATTGTATCATCATGGCCTTTGATCATGATATTAAAGTGCCATCACAACATGTAATATTGCATCATTATGGCATTATTTAACTCAAAATTTATTCTCCTGTTTTAACAATACAAAATCGAAGTGCCATTGTTTAGATGAGGTTTGGGAGTTCTGTCAAAAACTAACCTTCTAATAGATTTAATTCCTTTAATCAGTATCACTTTTACGCTTCACATAACTCTCATTATCACTAAGGAGTACTAAGAGTAATGTAATGAAAATGGCATTTCAGAACTTAAACATTTTTTTAAAATCTTAACTTCATTTACAGAGAGAGAAAAAAATTATGTTTTTGTACAGGCTTTTTTGTACTCTATATTTCTATATTAAACAGTGATACAGATGTAAAACAAAAACATTCAATACATATTATTTTGCCACTTATAACCACAACCATAAATTAATTTTTTATCATCTTGATGAATAAATAATTTATGAATCCATATTCCTCCATTAACAGTATAACGAGCTTGAAAAAGAAAACATATAAATAAAAAAATTTATTGAGAAAAATGGCTAGAGGTGAAAAAATATATAACTAATTAACTCTTTAGAATTCAGTCACTTACAAAGCTTGATATTATAAAGAGTTGATTCAGAGTAAAATAATAAGTTTTGGATTCAGGATAAAATAATAAGTTCGCATACTGCATTGCTGCACTTCAGCCACGCAATCTTGAATTGCCGATTTCTTTTACACATACTTATATAAAATACTAATCAGTGACTTTCAAAATAAAGAAAAATATCATAGAGTCACATCGTTAAATTCATGTGCCAGTTCCCTGGATAACTGTCTAATAATAACAATTCATATAAAATATCTAAATTTAAAAATTATTATTCAAGCCTAAAAACAACCAATTTCAGATATTTTTCACAGCAACATTCAAACTCAAGAAATCAATTCTCTATCGTAATTTATGAAATGATTAGGGTGCCATTAAACTAGACTATATAGTTTTTGTCGAAAAAATTAATTTTAAAATATTTATAGATATATCAGTACAATAGATTAAACAACAATATAAACTGACCAGTATTCTACAGAAATTTGTCATTGAGTAAAATAGCCTTTCTTTTAGCACCAGGATAAATGAATAAATTTGAAATTGTTTTATTGGAACAATATATATATCTATATTATACGGGTCACAGCTGCCTTTGCATAACAAAGCTGGTCAATTGATACATAAAACAATGATTACAAACACGCACAGGTTTTAAATGTCCATAATGAGGCAGAGCAATAGTGTTAGAGCTGCAGCGGGAACAAAATATCTGGAAGTAAAAACAAACAATTAATAACTAGAACAGAGGCAAACAAAACGATATTTCTTAAGTTTCTATATATTACAATTTTTTAATTCCCCAGAAAATGTGATTTATTAACTTTGTGGTAAGACTTAAGCACTAATTAGTGGTCAATTGATAGTACAGTGACTGCTACTAAAAAAATTATTAATTGAGATTCATACTCAAAGAGGTATTTTCCCTCGTTTTTCAGGTAGATTTATGTAAAATCTACCAGATTTATGAATTATCAACAACATAACTTCCGATTTCGTGATCGCATTGCTGTTGCAGATTTGTGTATTACGGTAAAATAATATTTTTTTTTGTCTTCAATTCATTACAAACGGAAGTGAAGTCAACATTGCTTACTTCATTCCAATAAATAAATGTTTTTCTTTTTTAAATTTAATAAGCCACAATAAAGAAGGAATGCTACATGCTACATTAAAGACATCTCCAGAGCAACTAAATTACTGTTCATATAGAAATTGCAGCTATTAGTCTCATACAACAACAACAACCCCATAGTTCATTGCGATTTGATATTTAAAAGTGCTAACAAATATTAAAACCCAGAACAAAACAGTATATTATATAAATTCAACTTAATTTTTGAAAAAATCCATTTTAAAATTCATGAATAAGGAGAACTAATTTATTGAGTACAAAATTAATTTATTTTATCAACAGGAAAAAAAACTCAGAACATATTGGAATCAGAAATTTAAACTGTTTGTAAAATGAGAAAGCTGCAATCTGCTTCATAAAATAAGTCTGCTTTTAGTTACAAATAATTGTGTGCTTATATTAATAAATGATCATCTGCTTTCATTTCTTTACAAAAGCAGACAATTTTTAACACAAGCAGATGGGATTCCACATCATGCAAAACTTACAAATGATATCACCTCGGAGGAAGCAGAATTTATTAAATTAAAAAATATTGTTCCTTTAACAAAACAAAGCAGACAATTAAAAAACAAACTGATTTTTTTTAATCCTCTGTTGCGCAAATGCGAAGAGGATAATCAGAAAAGTGAAATAGCATAATTTGATAGGGTGTCAAATTCCCTGACAATACCCAGTTTTGGGGTGAAATTGTCCTTTTCTTTGAAAAAACCTTGACCCGTTTCAAAACTCATTTTCCCTGACAACTTCTCGTTTTCCCAATATTCCTAATGCATACAAACTTTGATTTATAAAATCAGTCGAAAGACAGATTTGTTGCAAAAATCAAGAATAGATTGAACGCCTTATGCATTCAATGAGATAAACCATATTGGATATTTTATTTAACATAAAGAGTGAATCAGAATATACATGAACAATTTTAAACCAGTTAGTGGTCATATTATATTAAGATTAAACTAATAATAAAAACTGAGACTGCATTTTTTCTTTCCCTTTAAATTAAATTTGTTAGCTAGGAACAGCACCTAAATGGCAAGATATCAGTGCAAAGTACGATTTCAAAATGTATTCAAATTTATATACTCAATGTGATATTGAAGGTGGCAAAACTATTTACAAGATCTCAAAGGATTTTGAATTTAATTTAAAATTTTGCTTATCAAACAACTATATTTCAAAACTCACCTGCAAATTAAAAAATACAGCTCATATTTAAACAAAACAAATGTAAATTAAAACAGTTAATATAAAATATAAATGCAGCATTTAATTAAACTAATATATTTTTGAAGTTAAGTTTGAAAACTTTTTCGATAACTGTACTAGTTATAAAAATCAAATATCTTCGGGACAATTCTATTTTTAAAAGCACTCTAGTTTTATAGTACATAAGCTGTACTCAGTTATTTGTGCCACACTGAAAAAAATTATCTGTAACAAGTTGTTAACTATAATTTTGAACAATTTAAAAAATGAACATAATACTTAAATACCCACTACAAAGAAAAAAATATAAATGTAGAAAAATAGGAATTGCAACATGTTTTAATAATTCAAAAATAATTTTAATAAATAAAACAATTTTCATTTAATCCTTAATTGTATCCACTAAATATTGTTAAATAATTAAAACAGCATATTTTATTCAATAATTCTGAAATGGACTCCTCTAATTTTAACGTTTTTTTTTCTTTTAATTTAAAAACATAAGGCACCATGGATTAAGTTGCTTTTATCTGCAAGCTTCATTTTTCAAATTTAAATACTGAAATAATAAAAACATTACATTCTCACATATCTTACAGACATAGAAATAAAACAATTGACAATTATTTTTGAGTTATAGTATAAATATAAAAATGGTTTAAAAACAATATTTATAAAAAATATGCTGCATAATTAAATGAAAAATCCAGGAAATAATATACAAGATTAAGTCTAAAATATGACTAATAAACAAGGCTCAAAATAGATATTTATAAAGTGAATTTGGTAACATACCTTTCCACAATTTCTACAGTGATGGCGCCGCCGTAAAATAGTGAACTGCATTTTACAAGCCATACAATTAGGACTGAATTCATCTGGCATCCATTCAGGTGGACCTAAATCAAACAAATTTGCTATTATTGTTTTGCATTAGCATAATTAGTGAAATAACACACCAAAAATTATCAATAACTTTCAATATATAGATCAGAAAATGATATCTTGGCTTGAGAGATAATTCTTGCCCATATAATTCAATATTAAAATAAGAGAATTGCAATTTAAAGAATGTGACCCAATTAGTTGAGTAAACACAGTTGAAAATTCCAGTCTCTTATTGTTTTGTTTTTTATGTTTTGAAGGAATCACAGTAAGAATAAAAAAATTACTTAAAAACTTTAAATTTTGATTAATATATAACATTCAACATTTCGATACTTACATTTTTCTTATCATGACTTTACACTAACTAAACATTAAAAATGATAATTTGAAATAATTGGGACTTTAAAACAAACTTTAATACCATAATAAAGCATTTCATTTGCATTTATTAATGAGTATTCAAAACATTAATATAAATTATGACAAGCAGCCAACTATTTTTATGAACAATGAACATTATTTTTAGGGTAACATAAATAAATTATTGGAATAAAAAAAAAGAAATTCTTGGTTCTTCTTCAGAATGAAATTCGTGATGACTTTCTCTAATTTGTAGATAAAAATTGAAACAAAATAATTCAGTTTAACCTAATTATTCCCGTATTATGATAATCAGCAATTTTCACAACCTGAAAAGTATTTAAATTCGCACAAAATACATCTAAATTTACATGTTAAGAAAAAAGAATATCTGAGTAAGAAAGTATATTAAAAAAAAATTTAATAATTTGAGTAAACAAAGAATTTCATCTTAAAATTATTTTGAAAATAATTACAAGAACAGAAACTAAAGTAAAAAATATTTAATAAAATTCCCAAACAATTCGGCAGAAATTTTAATAGTTAACTTTACAAAAGAAAGTTTAAATTAAAACTATTCCTCATAATTAACTATAATATTGAAAAATTTTTGAGTTTGAAATACAATTTACTTTCAATGCAATTTGTGTTCAAATTTAGAAAAACGAAATTTTAACTTTCTTGTTAAAATTTTTTTCAATGAAAATTCTTTTTAGGATGAAAACTAACGAAACTTTAAAGATTTAAACCAAACCTAGTACAAAACATATAAAATATTTCAATGTGAGCTTAAAAATTATAATATAAATTTAGCCAAATCATATAGACAATAAATTTACTGTTCACAAAAATTTTACTTGCTAATAAAAAAAGGATGTGTGAATGGAAAACACAAAGTAATCTTAATTCATAACTATATTCAAGTCAAATTGAATACTGCAGCTCATTTATTTTTTTTGCACTAAAGAATTCAAATATATCATTTGGGTACTTTAAACTGTTCATCTAAAATACATTTAGCCATCTATACTATGTTTTTGAATAAAAGACTAATGTCTTAATGTGATAGATCTTTAAATGAAAGATCCATCACATTAGTAAATAAATTAGAAAATAATATGTCCTTTTATTTACAAATTTCAAAGATTTGTAATATTCATAAAGTTAAATAAGTTTTTCCTTCAAGATATAATCTTAAAAAAATTCTTTCTATTTCAGGAATGCAATACTATGCCTTTCCGTGATCATAGAGCTAATTTTATGAAAGATCAAAAAGCATTTTGGTAGTAATATTAAAATATAAAAGCTAATTTATGATATTCCATTATTTAATTCATTTCATGCAATTAAATAAACTTTAATAGATTTAAGTATACAAAAAAAAAACTTTTGAACAATATCTTTGTATATAGATAACAAAAAAATAAGAGTTTTCCATTTCAAACTTGAAATTTATTTATAACACAATTCATAAATTTTAAAAATATATATATCAGAAAAACTGAACTTATATATGACTTTTAAGAGCTTACTGTTATTTGAAATAGAATCCATGAAAAAGTACATAAATCCCAGAATAGTTGGAAACACTTACATTATTTTTTTTGTAACAGAAGAATTTCTCTTCCACGTAATCAATACAAAACATTGTCCATTTTCAACAAATACAATTTTCTTTTAAATTAAAAAACTAATTTTAAAACAAATTATGTTGAAAAATTATTTATAGCAATAATGAAGAGGCAAAGTGAATCAAAAATACCTGTAAAAACACCTATGCTGTTCTCATTTTGTTGGCTAATATTGGGCAACACCAATGATGGAGTAGGAGAATTGTCAGCCACAACCTCCTCAGCACTATCCACGGAACTTTGATCTCTGTCATATTCATCTGGAGAATTGCCATTTAACAGAGACTCTGACATTTCATTCGTAAGTATGCTATTTCCATTATCACTGAAGGCTGCACTTATTGGGGGCAAGGTCCAAGCAACATCAGGGCTATTTATGTCATTCGAATTATCCGTCTGAGAATTATCACATACTTCTTGCTGACTTTGCGAACAATTCATATCAAAGACACTTTTCAATATGTTTCTCAAGTCACTTGCATAGTTAGTTTGTAGTTGATCAGCAACACCTAAACATATTTCATGGTTTAAACTAACTAATAATTATTCCCAAATAGTCAATAGTTTAAAAATAGCACATAACGATACTTTTCAATTGTCAAAACACATATTTAGAATAGTGACCCAGTTACAAAAAAATTTACAATTACCTAAGATATTGAAATATAATACAATAAAAATTCAACTGCACCAATGATGTTATAAAAGTGACTATGCAATTTTTATTAAATAAAGTAAAATAAGTATATAAATTATTATAGATTTTATTAGTGTTAAATGTTAATAGCATAATTCCACATCTCATGGTCAAACTAAAACTAGAAAAACACTAAACATGTTTAAAATTAACTATAGTTTTATAAATTCAATTTTTTTTTTGTGCCAAATATAACAAAGAAAAATTAAGCATTTATAATATCCTTCACAATTAAAATTCCACAAAATTTTTATCACAAAAATATAATTACACATTTTTTATAATTAATAAAAGTATAAAGAAAAATGTGTAATTATCCATATGTGAATATCCACATTTGCATGTGCTAGCCGTAATCTAAACATTGAAAAGGAAGCAATTCTTAGAGCTACAAATGTTTAAAAATTATTTGGCTTAAAAGCAGTTTTGCAAAATTTATATCAATTGTGCATGGTTTTTAAATTAAGTGGATGAACAAGCAGATAATATACAGTTAACAAAACTTGGAAAATATGTATATAAGTGAAGTAAATTACGAATCATAATGAAATAAAAAAGAATATTTACAAGCTATAGCATCAAGACTTCTAGAAATTACGATTAGAAACATAGCAGAAACATTAACTAATACTTTAAGAAGGCTACATTAAAAAAAAAAAGAAGTATTTGCAATAAATAAAACATTTTAAATTTCAAAAATATATAAGTATACCTGAGACACAAACAAATAACTTGTGTAAAAGATCCCTGCTGCTTTTGAATCTTGATCTTGCTTTATTTCGAGATGCTATTTCTGCTGCCTGTAAAGCTAAAGCGATTTCCTCATCGTCTTGACACTCTGAGTTATAGGAACTGGTGTCTGGGCTATTTATAAATATTAAAGTAAACTTTATTCACATAGATAAAATAATAAATGAAAATAAAATTACTATCATTGTCCTAAGCATTATCGAAACAAATATCAAATACCTAATCAATAAATTAATTTTAGCCCTAACTGTTGATTCAAAACTGAATAGAAAAATCTGACTGCTTTACAATCAAATAAACTAATTCTAAACTTTATTCTATTAATAAATAATGCGTAACAGAAAATTTTCTATTTCAACTAACTTTCTTTTAAATTAAATTTAACTTTAATGACACCAATTTTTTTTTCTCCTTTTTCTAAATCATCTTACTTTAATACTCTTGAGCATATAGCTTCATTCATATAATTGCCGATTCACTTATGAATGGCATCAGTTTCTCATACTACGACTTTCTACAAAAATTATATCATGCCCTGATTGTCGGAAAACCACTTTTTATCCTAGTTATTTTTCTTCCGCTTTTTTTTTTGTTGCCTTTCTTAATTTTGACCTGTTTTGTATTTATCATTCTCATGTCTTGTAAATAGGCAGAGTGCATGTGCTTGAAACATGCAAAGTTTTTTCACTTTACATATGATCCAAATAAAGTCTCCATTAACAACTTTAACAGATTAAATATTCATCAAAAGCATTAAAACAAAAAAATAATTTGAAAATTCAAGGAAATTATTAATGTGATGTAAAATAATGATTATATTCACTTCGTGACAAATAATTAACTATATGATTAACTGTTAATTTCTGTAAAAAAAAAGTTTATTCTAATTTCTATAAAAATTGTAACTTCTACAAATAATTTTTTTTTAAATTCTTTTTAAGTAGAAAAAATAAAGCAATTAATGTGTTATTAAGATTGCTTTCTAAAGTTTTTGATTATATTTTCAGAATTTAAGAGATTATAATTTTTTAAACATTTCAAAATTTAGGAATTAAGAGAATTTAATTATGGAATTATATATTTCTTTTATATAAGCAGTGCATTGCTGTACAAAAACAAAATCGAATTTAATGTTGCAACTTACCACACAAGCTAATTTTTAAAAAGTTACAACATGAATATGCATTAAGAAAATCTACATACAGTACAGAACCCGTTATCCGGAAATCAGAAAACCAAAAAACCGGAACGAAATTCGACAAATTTTCCCGCAATTTAAAAAAAAAAAAAAAAAACATTTCCGCATAAGATTTTAGGATTTTTCTTTCTTTTTTGAAAGATGTTTACCTTACCATCATTTTGGAAATAATCATTAGTGTATTACTTCATCGTTTTTTCTTCTTTTTAAGATTATTTCCAAAAAAAATATTTTTTAGTTGGGTTTAACAATAAAAAAAAAAACGGCTTTTTGTAGCGATTCAGAAAACCGGAAAAATCAGTTATCCGGAATAGCGATGGTCCCGATCGTTCCGGATAATCGGTTCCCTACTGTACTTTATTTTTAAAAACTTTTTGTAGTACCTACCACTTAAAAAGCAATCAAGAAATAGACATATGTAATGAAATAATAAGAATGTAATTGATTGTTATGGAAACATTTTTAAAAGAAAACAGCTTTTAAATAATGTTATAAAATAATATGTGTAGCAAAAATCACTGAATGAATTTACATTATGAGAATAATTTCTATAAAGATTGGAAATTTAAATTATTAATACAATGTAGTATTTCATAATATGTAAATATACTAATTGAAAAGCGAAATGTGTTAAATTAACAAAAATATATACTACTTTTTTTCTAGGGGCCATAAAAATCACCAAACTATTATCAATGCCAGTGATTCGTAATTTATTGTGGTGATAGGTACTACTGGTATTGGGATAATAGATAAGTGATAATAGACTTAATTTGCAGTAAACTCATAAAAAATTTTGAAAACTTTGTAGGAATACAAAAAGAAATTAAAAATAAATTCACTGGGAGGAATATTTTCATTTTGGGGCAAAACACTGCACATGGTTGAATTATTTGCTTTCATTTTATCTTTCATTGCTTGATAAATGTTTATTCTTCGAAAGTAATCGCTCATCGTCCAAGCTATTCGTAGATACTGACAAATGTAGAATAGCCACTTATTGATAGCCAGTTTAGGATAATTATGTCTTAGATTTCCAAAGTCAAATGAATCTGCCTCTAATTCATTGACAGTTGCTTTGCAAACATTCAATTTGTAGATTCAGATGTTTTCAAACTTGTCATTAAAATGTTATTTTGAAATTTATACACTCTCTTAAATATTTTGTCAATAGTACATTGTCAACTGAAAAGCTTCAGAAAAGTAGTAATTGCTATTAAAATGCAAGAAATAAAATAATGATTATCAAGGAAATTTGCCTCATTACAAACTTGCAAACTCAGTAATAGGTGTACCTAACAGGGAGTTTAAAATTTTACAAGCACTTGCCACATGTTAGTCTACAAAAAGTATGCCTGAATGAAACTAACATGAGAAAACAGTTTTTCTAATAACTATTAAGACATGAATGTACTAATTATTAATCTGTAAAAAAAATGACATTAACAACATACATATTATTAGTTAAAGGACAAATCTGAAGTATTTAAGTATTAGGAATTATTAAGTGGGCGTCAACTCCTTTCAGCAAAAGGAAGAAAAAAAAAGGAAAAAAACATGAATATAAAATAGGAACAAATTTTAAATAAAATTACATTTAAAAAAAATCTCCTGCTCTTCTATTTGCTTTGGTACTGCAATTTTAACTTTCAATACTTTTTTTAATTACTTGGATACTAAAAAGAATAAGCTAATTTAGTTTATTTAACAACTTTTTCCAAATCTTCAGCATGTTTTGCAATATACTTTTACAGTCATAGCACTTAATTTATAAATATAGGTACTGTATTAATATTTCTTACAGCCCCCAGAAGCATAGTAGTACCTAAAAATATTACCTTGTAGATTCCCATTCAGAACTTGATACACTAGATATACTCTGACAGCTAGAGCAGGAAGAGTAAGTTGCTTCACTATTCTCTTCCTGGCGCAAGTGTTGTACTCGGGGAATCATAAGAGGTGAGCTATTGTACAAACTATTAGAGTTCTGTGCTTCAGACGGGTGAGCATGACGATAGTTATCACTACAACACCTAGATGGTGATTTTTCATTCTGTTGCCGTGCAGAAGGTTGTGAGTTTTTGCTACGGCCTTTTTTAGTCCTTTTTCTAGGCGTCTCTGAAGAAGCATGTGGGTGGATAGGAAAAGAGCGGCTCAGTAGTCCATGGTGATAGGCACGAGGGCTATTTTCTAAAGAAGAACTGTACTCTGAAACTCGTTGGCCTGGAGGTACGATTTCAACCTTCCTCATCACCTGTCTCATTATTTCTCTGGAAGGAGTCAAATGCTCTCTTGAAGAACTATTGAGGTTGCAAGTACAGTTATCGTGGAGAACGCTAAGGCGGTTTTCGAGTGAGGATGCAGAATGTTCTAGAAAGGTACTCTCTGAAGCTGGTTGAGAGTAAACATCGTTGACAATTTCATTGTTTTCGATGTGAGGGAGACTAGTTCTCAACCCGGCTTCGCTCCACGAGTCCTCATACTCTTTGTTCTCTAAAATTTGATTCTGTAATCGTGTGTTATTACTTGAACTAGTTTGATAACTTTCTGCATTTTGCAAATTACAAAGCATTTGATTATGATGGGCAGGCGCATTGCCTAAATGTTGGCTCATCGGCCTAAACCTTTCATCACTGAAAGATTCTTCAATATTATCTGAACGAGTCCTAACACCATCAGTTACAGCCTTGTCTCGAGTTTCATCACAATCTGAAAGTCCAAGTTCATTTGTGACAAAATTTTCATTATTACTGATATAAGATTTTTGAACATTGTTCGTTGTACTTGAGTTATGATATTTTACCTCAAATTCTATGCTATTTTGATTTTTTTCATGCTTCTTTTTATTTGAAGAATGCTTTTCTGTGTTTAAAGTGTCCTCTGAATTTTCAGGAATACCATTTTCTGTTGTTAGTATACCAAAATTATAAGCATAAAATTCATGAATAAACTGCTTGCAGTTCAACTGATTTTTATAAAAGAGAGATACAGAATCCTCTGAAACTTTTAAAGATATATCATCATTAGCCTCTGACTTATCATCAATCTTTGGTTCTTCCAAGCTGCACAACATCTTTTCAAGTTTATGGAGTTCTTTTTCAGTCAAAGTCCATAATAAATCTCTAAAATAAGAAATAATATTTAGTAACTTGTATTTTCATTGAAAGTTTCAAACTATCTCTTCATTAAAACAAACAAATAACACATTTTACTGAACATAACACATTTTAATCATTCTGAACAGCAAAACCCCCACTTTCTTTAACGATTTCTGACATAAAAATATTGATTTTGTCAAGCATGAAAAATTCAAAGGTTTCCACAAACACACATGGGCCTTAAGAAATTTAAATTGTGGATGTAAATTTACTGAACAGCTAGTTTATTTTTCTTAGCTACCACAGTAATATTTAAATTATTATAATATCATTTAGACCACTCATATCATTTATATGTATTATTATTAAATTCAATTTACACACCACTTTTTTTAAGTTCCATGGGTATCCTGAAGCGATTCTTCAAAAAAATAAATGGAAAATTCATTTATCTTTAAATTTTTTTTTTTTAATCAGGCATGAGATTACAAAAATAAAATAGAGAAAAATTTAAAAAAAATTAAAAAAATGTACAAAAAATAAAACAAGAATGTTGTGTGAGACAAATTTATCAAAATCAAACTAAACTTAAAAGTTTCAGATAAACTGGCATGACTTTAGTCAGTCAAATACAAAAAAATTTTCCTCGAACAACATTTGCCTGTTCATGCATATTAAACATATCTGCCCAACACAATATGTTCACTTCAAACTATTGTTGAAAATTCTTACCTTATTTTAAACAGTAAATTGCAGAAAGGCCGGAAAAGTTCAGATATATCTGATGAATCTTTCTCAACATTGAATGGACCATCAGGATAAAGCAAAAGACCCCTAAACAACATTTCCATATATTAGTCACAAAAATTTAAATAAATATTTATCACTGACTGTTACTAAAACCAAATATTTTCAAAATTTAAGCCAAAGTTAAAATAACACAAATTTGCTACTTTATAACTATACAATTTTAACAGAAAACTTATACACAATACAATATTGTTAGAGTAAAGCTTACAATTAAAAAAGTATTGTATTTTGACATATTTTTTATTTATTAAATCTTTGGAGAGAGAAGAAAACCCATTCTAAATATTAAACTTTTGTTATCAAAAAATAAAAAAACATTGAAGTTTTTAAAGTTAACACATTGTTTTGCAACAAAAATTTATAAATTATAAAAATTTTAAATGTTTATATAGATTACTTTTTCCAAGTTTTTACCATCACAAACATTGTCCCCAAAAACCAGTAAGTATAAATGTTAATAATTTGATGTATTTTCAAAAGTATTAATACTTAACATTTTTTTCAAGTTTAACAAATTTATATTTTTGCAGTGGTCAATACTTTCATTACTTAAATAAAATTTATCAATGCTCACAATATCCTATTCAATAATTATCATTGCTTATAATATTCACAATATTATCTTTTTGATATGTTATGCAATCGATAATGATCACAATCTATATATATATTTCTCTTACACGGCGACAAAAAAAAAAGCCTCATTACAACTCCCCGAATGGCAACGCTAGAAAATCGACCAATGATTGCCGCTAAAAATGTCACATACCAAATCTAGTTGAGGTGGCTCAACATGTAGCGCTTTTAAAAACGGAAACTGAAATAACCTGAGAGAGCATCAGCTGCGACAATCTCATACTATTAAGCTGGGCAGAAGTGAGTAGTCTTTGTCGATAGATCTCTATTTTAGTATTTATCGAAAGCGCTTCTTTTCACGAATTTACCAATATTACGAATTTAACGAATATTATGAATTCATTTGACGATTTTTGATTTATATCACGAATTTATTTGTTTTATTATTATTAGTTATTCATTGAAAAATGAGTCTCAGTCATGCTGTTACGCTTTAATATTTTATACTATAGCACATTTCTAATAGGTTTAACAAATTAGACGTCATTTATTTGAATTCAAATTTATTTTAATGACTTAGTATTTACTAAAAAGATGTTTGTTTTTTTTTTGTTTTTTTTTAAAGTATGGGATTTTAAAGTATATGGATTTGAATGATTGTTTTGAATTCTTAGAATTTTGTGCATTCGTAATGTAATGAAGTTAGCTGCGAGCGAAGCGACCTTGGTTTGCGAAGCAAACCATATAAGATTGCGTAGCAATTTTCGGGGGTTGGCGAGCGTTAGCAAGCAGGGGGCGCAGCCCACTAGTATCATTAATTATCTATTATTAATGCAGATCAAAATATTGTAATATTTGATACGCCTACAGGGGTCTGTCCAGGCCAAATTTACTACCGTTTAGCGGTACCTTCACAAATTCAACTTTAGAAAAAACGGTAGTTACACAAAATACTTTCTCTTAAAATTTTATTTTTGTATCCCATAAGAAGCAATAAAGCCATATTTTTACCATTTTTTTGTGTTGATTTTTTACCATAATTTTTAATTTTCACAAATTATGTCTAAATTTTCACAAAATAGGTATCTCTCAGAAAAACCTAGACAGACCCCTGGCCTATGTATACTATCGCAGATGATCATTTAAGTAAACCAGACTCTAGTAAGGTTCCTATGAGTTGGCAAACTTAGCTTCATGAATAAGTTTCTCGGACATATTGAACTAACAAAAGAAATTTTTGACTTATTACTTACCAAACAATGGCAAGCCTAGGAATTGTAAACATTAAAGATGGATCATAATCATCTACCATGTCTTGAGTCACCATTCCCATTTTTAAAGCTCTACATAATAAAATACAAGATAGAACATACATAAGAATGAGAGATAACTTCATAGCAATAGAAACTAAAAGTCTTTTTTTTAAACTAAATATTGAAGTATTATAGCTAACTCATTATTTTTTCTTAGTCTGAATTAAATGAACAAATGACATAATGAAAAAATATATAATACAAATGACATAAAAAGCATAGCTGCCAACCTTAGGAATAAAAAATAAGGAACACTATATGCGACAAAATTATACGCACTAATTATGAGAGTAAGATAAAAATTTAACTATTAAATCATAACATTAATAGACATATATTTAAATATGTAAATTAGTAAAACAAAACTATAAACACTATCTTTTGTGGGAAACTTATAATATTAATGTTTTATAATTAGGAATACCGGTATAATATATTAAAAACAAACATTACCTATTAATATATAATTATTTATCTCCAAATTATAAAACACTGGTAAATAATAATCTACATCATAAACAAATATTTCTGATGCAAGTGTTTAAATACTACAAAAAAAAATTTCCAAAAATAATAATTTAGTGAAATAATCAGCAACAGACAGCTATTGGAATAATATTTTCCAATAAAAAGCTACTAAAAATTACTTTAGCACAATAATCACAGGATGCATGCTTGTGGCGATCAGAAAAAAGGATTGGTTTAAAATCAAAAATTTTATGAAAATTCAAATTTTTTATAAAAATATCAGATTTGCAGATTGGATTTAAAAATTAGGAACAAATCCGAAAAATTCTGAGCAGTTGGCAGCTATGAAAAAGTATGTATTTCAGCAAAGCATTTTGTAAACAAAAATATTAAGAATGGAAATTAAATGATAAAATAAATTTGAGATTAAAAAAATCCTATTCATGTAATTTTCTGCTAATGAAATTTAAACTTCTTTTTGAAATTTGAGAAAATAAAAACCTGTAATTGGAAAAATTAAAATTATATAACTACATTTAGGCTATTATGAATACTAAAAAACAAAATAAAAAAATTCAAGATTATATAATACAAAACATAATTTGAGCTAATTGTTAGCTGCATAAAAAGCATGCAAAAAATATTTTTAGTACAAAATAAAATTTGTATTTTCATAACTTTGAATACAAATAGCATATTTATTTTGCTGTTCAATCATACTCTTTATTTTGTAAGTTAACATACTATTGAAATGAAATTGCTGATAGAGTAAGAGACACATTTCATATCATGGGGTCATTTTGTTAATGTAAAAAAATATACTTCATCTTTTTTAGTACCCCACATGGCTTGTACAAACAAAATACAGAAATAATAACAATTAATAAGTATTAAATGTGAAATTCTTAACAGCAGAATAGTGTCAATCTGTGTTAAAATTAATACCTTATAAGAGTTTCAGAGAACAAAACCACAATTTCTTGTTGAAGGTGATATTCCTTAGCACTCTTAATAGGAACCATAGCACTTACGTAGCTGTTAAAGAGAAAAGTAATATAATACTTTTAAAGAACAAGAATTAGTAAACAAATTTTTAGTTACAAAAAACTATCTAAACGAAAAAACTAAGAAAAAGTAGAAAATTAAATTCAGACCATACATTCTTTTTAACCAGTTATCAAGTACATAAATTTACTTTTAAATATTTTCTAAACTGTAATTTATGTTAATAACTAGTTTTCTACCCAAAAAATAACTATATTATACTAATAATAATCAAAATAACTGTTTTAACTTTTTTTTCTTCCATTTTATATCTTATAGAAGAAAATAAAAGAATGATACACTACGAAATTTACAAAATCACATAAAAAAAATTATACAAATAAATATACCATAGTTCGAATTCTGCAAAAAGCCTATCAAATATTCTCAAAGCTTCTCGCACCTGCAATGAGATAAAAGAACAGTCCAGTAATTAAAATATAAATTTACATATTAATAAAATTTCATACATCTCATTAAACATAATCATAAATTATATTTCGCTTTAATTGTAATGGAAATATCAAATTATATTTTGCAATTTTGTTTCATCTGCTAAATAGTTGCTGAATTGCATTTTTAAATATTTATTTCTCAAAAACTAATTGACCAATACCACTCAAATTTTATTGACATTTGAAACTCAAATTTTATTGATATTGACAAAAGGATTCAAAAATTCCCATAACTTAGAGTTCAATTTGTTTTTCAAATTTTAAATTTAAATAATAAATTATATTGAGCACTAAATAATCATTGGATAAATGAGCTTTACAATTGTGTGTAAAAAGTGTTTGATTCATTTAAATTAGTCTCTTACGAAATACACTTCACAAAAAAGAAAATTGTCATTCATCTGATTAATTATATGGACCATATTTTCCGAATTGTAGCTATCCCCCATCCCAATTTCACATAAAAAAGAGAATCCCAATCTGTTAAGTATCAAAAGAAACTATGTTTATTCAGAGAAAGTAAAATTTTGCATCTCATTTTGTATCACAAAATATCTGCTTTAACTAATCAGCACTAAGTTATCCCTTGGAAACATAAAACATTAAGATTATAGGTAAGATAAACATTTGTGTATGTATGATCATTAGAGATGAAAAGCCATAAGGAATTCCACTATACATTCAGCGTAACGTTTTAATACTATTTGGGCAGATAGTGTGTTAAAATGCGATAAAAATTAACACAACTTACAATCCATTTCAGAATAATTTGATATTAAAAGAGTTACCGTATATTCCGGCGTATACCGCGCACTTTTAACACAAAAAATAACATTGGAATTTACGGGTGCGTGGTATACGCCGAATATAAAAAATTATAGATTAAAAAAATTTAAATATAGAAAAATACTTTTATTTTAAAGAAATAACATACCTTTACCTATATACTTTATTGATTTTCGTTATTACATAAACAGTTCATTATATTCGTCTTCCGTTATTTCTTCAGGCGCGTCATCACAATCTGTTTCGTCTTCATCATCTGTGTTACCCTCATCCATAAATAAACAGTTATCTTCTGATTCGAGCAGATTATTTGAAATGCTGCATTTTTTGAATGATTTTCTAACCATCTCAGGCTTAATTTCATCCCATGCTTTTAATATCCATTAATATCCATCACTGTTTCCAAACTTGCATGGCGCATATGTCCTCCTTTCGTAAAGGTTTTCTTGCCCTCCAACATCCAAGTGTTCTACTGTTTTTTTAAATTGGCTTTAAAAGCAGACGTCTAATGGCTAAACTAATGGTGTCAATCCGCCCGGAATAACTGCCATATCGGTGTTACATTCTTTCAACAATTTTTTTGTATTATCTGTAAGGTGGGACCTAAACATGTCCCACACTTAAAGGCTTTCTGGTTTTCTATAGATACTAGACGAGATACTGCACATGTACAATCCAAATTTTCGTGCGCGTTATACGAGGAGTATATCTTAAAATTTCAAATAAGTTATTAGAAATTACGGGTGCGCGTTATACGCCCGGGCGCGTTATGCGACGGAATATACGGTATGTCTTATTTTATATAAAAGCAAAAAGAATTTTAAAAGAATTAAAATTATTCCAAAATGCCCTTTTAAAAGAATCTAAGCCACACTATAGAATAATTTTTTCCAAATTTATTAATTCTTGTTAACTTTTTAACTAAAAGTAAATCAAAACAATTTTTGAGTTACAGACTCTTCAATAGTTTACAAAGTGTTATGTTAAGAACTACAAAACTTAAGTTAATTTTTTTTATAATTTCTCATCAAAAAGAAAAACATATGTATGCAAAATTTTTCTATACTTCAAAAACCTTCAAGATTAAAGTTTGGTTTAACATGAGGGTAAAAATTAAAACATCCTCCATACACAAGACTCTTACTATTTCCTTATTTTAAAATGCATGCCTAATTTAAAATATATGCACAAAATATTTAAATGCATTCACAAAAAGGATTTTAATAAATTTATATTAAAATTGTACTTTTTTTTCCCAAGACAGACCTCATTTTTATAATTTAAATAAATGCATCTGAATGTTCTATAATATTTAAAATAAATATACATACTTATATTTGTCTTGTAGAGTAAAATTAACAACACAGTATTAGTAAATAAATATTTTTTTTTAAAAAAATACGCAAAAATAATGAAGTGGAATTTGCAAAGAGTCAGCTTTTTCTTTTAAAAAATAAATATGCTGTTCCAATAAAAATAAAATACAAAGTAGATTTACTAAACTCATTTAACTTACTTTATCCGAATATACAAGAGAATTTTTTAATGACTGTTCTCTTAAAAGGCAACGGACATTATCTAAAGCACGAGTCAAGGCTTTAGCCAGAGGCCTCATGCTGGCACTTTCAAGCTCTCTGTGAATTATATTAGAACCAGCAGCAAGGCACTAAATAAAGAAAAAAATTGATGTTAAGAGATAAGATATACGAAGTACAAAATTATGAAAAATACAAAATATGAATAATGATAAAAATAAAAACTATGGGCCATGCTGGCTCAGAGGATAAAGTGCTCTCTCGGGTTCAAATTCCAGAGATGGCTGGTCAATACAAATCCTGCATCTGGCCTGCACTGACCACAGGGCTGAATAAAATATCATCAGTGGTTGATAGATCATAGATTAGAATCTCTTTGCCATTAGGCTTACTATGGGAGGTTTCTGTGATTTTCGTCTTTTAGTAGTGCAAATGTGAGTTAGTTTCATCAAAAAGTCTTCCACAAAGGCTAATTTGTCCCAATGCATGATCCAGGAGCTTCCTTGCCTTCTGGATTGGGTTCAAAATTACAAGGCTACGAAGTAAAACATTGATTGTCTAACTCAATTCTCAATTGTAATAGTTATTCAACACTGGTTATGAAAGCTACAAACAAAAAAAGGATTTCTGCTATTCCTTTATTTCATCTCAAATATAGATAAAAGGAATAACCCATTAATTGAAGCTATCACACACATAAGGTTTCAGAATTTTATAAATTGAACAATCATTTCAAGAGTATGATAGTATTTAAGTATTGATTGTAAGGTTTTTACACAAAGACTGTAATATAAATATAGTAGTTAAGAAATTGCAGTTAATAAGTTAAAGTCGCAGTTCCAAAATTCTTTAGAGTCAAGGTGGCCTTTTAATTAAGAACTTTTAATAGCTTCTCATCCTTAATAAGGACTCTCTAGTTATAAATAAGATAGAAAAATAAATTAAACTTGAGTATGTGCTATCTAATCCTAATGATCTGATACCTAATTCACGTGATTTACAGAATTCAGCTCACTCTGAAACCCACAGCACACATTTAAGTTGTAGGAAATAAATGGTATAGGAATATTTTAAAATATTAAATTGTTTTATATATACTATAAATAAAATATCAAACAAATTTCAAAATTAATAGCATTTAAATTGTGATAAGAAATCTGTGACCAAATGATTTTTAAGTCATTTACTCTAATAAATAATAAGTTTGATTAATATGCTGTAAAAGTTTTTGTATTTAGCATTTTTAATTTAAGAACAGTTTTAATGTTATCCAAAGGGAAAAACGAAAAAGAGATTCAATCTGGATTGTTTTAATCAATCTCAAAGCAACTAAGATTGATTATTTTTGCATAATAGTATGCAAAACTATCGGAAAATACTCTTTTTTGATCAGGAACTGGTTCCTAAAAATTAGAATCCAATCACTAAAAATAGTAATAACAGAATTACAAATTTCAGCAATGTTTAAGATCAGGAATGGGAAATTTCTTCAACAATGGAAAAAATAAACAAAGAAAAACCCCATGGAAAATATCGCCCAGGAAGAAATAGGTTTTTTCGAACAAAGTGAAAAAAAGGGAAGATAAAAAATTTCAAAACAAAATATCAAATATTAAAACAATTTGTAATTGCAATCTGGTTTTAATAGTAGTACTAATTTAGTACTACTATTTAACTAGTAGTTTAGAAGTAGGAAAGCAACAATTGGGAGAAAAATAATTTAATGAATTTCTTAAGAAACTGTATTTTACGATATTTTTTGGAAATTAGTATAGTAAATCCTAATTTTTAATAATATGAAGAACTGCTGAAATGACAATCAGATTTTATTAATACTACTAAATCAGTAACTTATATATGTAATATAAACATACACATTACTAAAAAACACATATTGAATTCACAATTGGAAATAGCATATTATTAAATCAAATACTGTTGTTATGTATGGATATTCAAATAAATTCTTAAATATGATATAAATTTTAAAAATTCTGCATAAAAAATTATTTTTAAAGTAATGTGAATATTTTTTTACTTCCTGGTACTAAATGTATTAAATTTAACCTATTCTTCTACTACTTCTAAACATTTGTATTGGTCTTATTCATTTTTTTTTTTTTCAATTCTGCACAGTTCCATACCTGCCAACTTTTATTCCTATATTTAAAGTGGTAGTAAAATGTATGTCTTCTATATATTCCTTGCATTTATAAACTTAATTTATAATATTTCTGACCACCACTATTTTTTAAAAAATTAAGCATATATTAATAAAATACTATTGTTTTATCCTACATAAACTTCTCAAAATTACAGCGTATGTTACAGCCGAAAATTTTAATTTAAATTCCATTTTACTACCACTGGCAAAAATCATCGTCAAAAGGATTAAAAGTTGGCAAGTATGCAGTTCTTCCAGTCTTCAGGATGAAATAGTGAATAAAAAACCTTCTGAGCAAAATACCAACCCTGTCAGAGACCGATCCAGACTTTTTGCAAAAGGTCCTTTTATGAAAAACAAACAATTTTTTAAATCTACAATTAGCATTAAATCTAGTTCTTTCAATCAGGTTCCTGTTTTCGGCAATGAGTAAAAACATGGTGCCATTTTTATAATTGAGAAAAACAACAAAAGTTGTCCATTCTGAAATTATTCTACTCCCCTCATACTATGTTCAGAGCAATGATTAATGATGCCATCAGTTCTATTTTTCAAAGGTGAATTTTGCAAATGGTCTGTTTTTATGACAATTTGTAAAGGGTTCTTCTCCTAAATAGTCAAATGAATAATTTTTAGTAATATACTAAAAGTAAAATACCTTTTGCCATTTATTTTAAACATATAAAGCTTATTTGATGTTTGTATGATCAGAACATTTTTTATTATTTAAAAATTATTTACATACAGTCAAAAGGGAATAAAAATAACTAAGAAATTACTTCTGCTCCAAACCAAAGTTGACCAGCAAGATTTTCATGAAGAACATCATCAGGAAATTTAGCACGGAAATCCCTATTTGCCCTTATATCAGGAATTGCTTCATCCATTATATCATTGCAAATGCTTAATACCTATAAGACAGAGTAAAAGTTAGAAGCAATCAAACAAGGAAACATGCCAATATATTATAATTTTCTATTCAACAAAAATAAAATTTCGAAGTTAACCTAGAAGAAATAAAAGAAAACCTTAGAAGAAAAAAAGAGGTGCAAAATTCAATGTTCAGTTACATATAAACTTAGAACATACATAAAAATATATCCTGATAAAAACATGAAAAGCCTTAAGAGAAATAAAAATAATTAAACATCAAAATTATTTTGAAAGGAAAGTTTTTCAAAAATATAAAAAACAAAAATATAACAAAAGTTCAGATATTTTACTCTTTAAAAAACCATGAGAGTTTAACCATGGAGTCACTCGAAAGAAATTGTATAAAATATTACTGTCAAGTGGGGTTTCTCCATTGAATGACAGAAAAAAACCGAGTCTGCTGCACAGGAAGTAACCAAGTTTTTTCCTGATCTGAGTACAGGGTTAATTAAATGGTAAAAACTTAATATAGAATTTAAAGTTTTATACTTACAATACAATACAAATTATTCCAGTAAACATTAATATATTATAAAATGTTATTATGTTTGAAAATATGCAACTCAAATGTAGTAAAGACTTTGAAGGGCATAATAACTAAAAAAAACTATCAAATGGTTGTCCCTCTTATACTTAGGTAATTTATAAATCAGATAGAAACAAAGCAGATTAGTTGAGAAAAGTTGTTTGGGAAATACATTTAACAATTTCTCATTACAATTTGAAGTTCAATTTTATTTAAAAGAAAAATTTAAAATTCATAATCATTATAAAATTTTTAGAAAATGCATCAATTTAATGGGTAAATTAAAAAATATTTAACAGAAGAAACATACAGAGAAATAAGGAAAATAAGAGACTTCTCTTGCTATCACAGATTTTGGTTTAATTTTTGTTCCCTCTTTTTCTTTTCTTTTTTCCCCTTGCTGATTTTTGATAACAAAAATATGTATTAAAAATCTAAAAACAGACAAATATATAATAAACTATTTAAAAAAAATGCTGATTACTTAATTGTATTGGTAGGTATAATTTTGTCAGAAAAATCAATAGAGAATATCAAATATTTCTAAAATTTGTATTGGGTGTCGTCATTGTATTTCAAGTTTTGAAGAATACCTGCTGAGGAGAAAAATAAACATCAGTTTATTAGTTTATTTGTGAAAATTAAATCAAATTTATTAAAATAATTAGAATCCCCCTTGACAATTTAATTGGAATATGAGGAGAGATGTTAAGCTTTTGAAAACAATGCACATCCTGAGATAAATTTCACAAACAGATTACAATAAAAAAAATAATTAAACTAAACATGGTATTATTGTAACAATATTTATTAACTGCTCACTAAAACTTTGAAGGAAAGTTAAATTTAAACTTCAGAATGAGAAATACAGTAATCAACTTACTTTATCTTGACATATTCGAAGCTGACTAACCAAAATGGAACACCTATCTGGATCTGTCCGACCATCAAAACTATCCAGTTCTGTAGCAACCATAGTAAGTTCTTCATCAGCCCAATAAAAGAGAGCCAACTTAGAACTATCTTCTTTCTGGAATCAAAACGAAAAGCATTTAAAGCAATTACTTAAACTCTTTATATTGCAAGATGATTAAACCAATATGCAAAATAAAAAATTTTAATTTCAGAAACAAATTATAATTATACAAAGATAACTACTTCAATGTCAGATGACAAGTACCCAAACTTTTATTTCCACTAAGTTGTTACTCGTTTTTGAAATAAAAACTATTAATGATAATGAAAACTGGAATCAAAACGAAAAGCATTTAAAGCAATTACTTAAACTCTTTATATTGCAAGATGATTAAACCAATATGCAAAATAAAAAATTTTATTTTCAGAAAAAAATTATAATTATACAAAGATAACTACTTCAATGTCAGATGACAAGTACCCAAACTTTTATTTCCACTAAGTTGTTACTCGTTTTTGAAATAAAAACTATTAATGATCCCACATATTTTAAAAAAGGAATGTTTATGGTTATATTAAATAGCTAATAGTTAATATTAACAGATATACAAATTTTAAAAAGAAATAGTCAACATTTAGAAGCAAAGAAGTACAGAACCTTATGGACACCCTGTGTTATACAATGTGAATAAATAGCAATGAATACATAGCTACCACTTTGTACAATCAGTGGGAAAGATGTTATAAAATAATAATAATCATCATCCGACAGCCCAGGATGGGCTTTGGCCTTCTCAAAGAGTTTTTCCCAGGCTAGCCTTTTTCCTGCTAGTGTTTTCCAGTTTTTAGTTTTTAAGACCAAAAGGTCTTTTCTAGGCCATCTATCCATCTCAAATTCGACCTGCCTCTTTTTCGCGTGCCAACTGGTCCGGCATTGAGAACTCTTTTTGCGGTACGATCTTAGTCCATTCTGATAACGTGGACTGCCCATTTTATTCTTTGTCCTTTAATAAAGTGTTGAAAGCCGCTTTTTCTAAAGAAATAAAAGCCTGTTCTAGTGCTATAAGTGTTCTAGCAATAATGTCTATGTCATCAGCAAAGGCCAACAGTTGCACAGATTTATTAAAAATATTTCCCCTGATGTTAATGTTGGAATCTCTTATCACTTTTTCTAATATTAAATTGAAGAGTAGGCATGCCACATTATCCTGTATTTTGACCCTAGTTTTGGTTAATGATAATACGGTTTAGAAGAAATTCCTGAAACAAAGGAGTACACAACTTTATGGACACACTGTTTTGTACATTAACAATGTGAGAATATAAAATAATGAATACATAGCTGCCAATTTGTACAGTCAGTTAGAAACATGTATAAAGTGTTAGTATAAAAATTTCTCAAAAATTAAGTTACTTTCTAAATACTTAAAAAGCCAATTTATCAAAAAAATATATCTTATGTATATATTTTTTTGTCAAGGTAGGTAAAACAATTTAAGATTTATCTTTTGAAATTAAGATTTATGCTTTAAAACAATGATGCTACTACTAAGAAAAGCTTCTTAACTATCGCCCAAGTTTGCACATGTGATTAGTTTACTTATTTATGTTTAATATTCCATTGAAAATAGGAATGCAGTAAGTGATATTATCAAGTAAATCTTAGCCACTTTACTTAGCCAAGACACAATTTTAATAACAAACTGACAAAATTCCGAATTAGGAAACAGAAAAGGTATCCTGTTCAGAGCGGAAAAGATTCTGATACATTGATTAACAAAATAAATAAAACAATAATTTAGAGTATTGGTATATTACAGTTATTTCCATGACAATTAAAACAAACTTACAACTACAAAATGTATTTAATCCTGCAAAGCTTATTAAGGCAGTTAATGTATTTAAGTTTTTAGCCTGTATATCCTGACAAATATCTTACAAAACTGGATTTCAGTGCAATTAAATGCAATTCAGAATAGCAAATTTAAAAGGTAGTTAGATTTTTAAAATCTTGACTACACGTAACTTCAATTTTTACTTCATTTAAAAATAAAATTTTTAAAAACTATATTTTCTATTACAAAGGATTTTGAAAGATCTTTCAGTCTTTTATGAGCCTCATCCCAGCCCTAATATTATGACACAGAATTTTCAAGATATTTCAAGATTTTCAGACTTATGAAACTAACTGTATTGTACTAATTTTTGTGCATGTAAGATTTTTATTCTAATTTCGACTTATTTTTTACAGATTTCGTAAACATTCGATCAATAGAACCCTGGGTGAACCATCACTAAAGAACACCCATATCTCATTTTTAGACCACCACTATCTATAGTATATATACATATAGTACTATAGTATATATTAGTAGTATAATGAATTTGTCAAATATACAATTAGATTAAACTAACTTTAGGTAAACGCTTACTTCTAAAATTTATAAAAAAAGAAACTGTCCTTTCATTAAACATGCTGCCACATTCGATTTTACAAAACAATATAGTCCCACAATTTAGTAAATATTCTACACATATGAAATTTTAGGTATTTTTTAAGTCATCCAAATACAATAATTCTATTACATTAATAAACTATTAATTGTCTGCAATGTTTTCAATTTATGATTGACAAAAAATGAGCTTTAAATCGAAATATTTTTATGTTTACACATAATTTCGAATAGTAATCAAAATTTAATTTATTTCAGACATTTAAATTCATTCTAAATCATTAAGGATTTAATTAATTTGGAACGAGAATTCTGAATAAAATTAAACTGAAAATTTAGAAAATTCTAGAACTTTTCTGATAAAAAGCTTTAAACCGATTACTATAAATGAGGATTGCTTCATAATTTATTAGTAAAACTTATTTAAATATTCGAGTAAGCAATAAAATGCGTTAAAATTCTATTTGAATAGCGTTTTTTTAGGAAACTTACTAAATTTTAGAGAATTTTCAGAAATCTGTTTAAAAAAAAATTTTTTTTTTTAAACTAAACCAGTAGACAAAGCGAAACTGACAAAATCTGGTAGCCTACTTGAAAATCCAGCTGAGTTGGCAACTATAACTAAATAATTTTTTCCTTTTACCCTTTTGCCATTTAGTGCATTTTTTTCTTCAAGACGCATATTAATTGTCTTTCATTACTATCGTTATTTATTTATTTTGGCATTATACTAATTGACACTCGAAATTAAGTTTTGGTCATCAAACCATGTAAATGAGAAAACTGATTGTACAGGATTCAGAAAAATATCAAAAAACAAAAAGATTTTTGAAACTTCATAAGCTTTAAAGAAAAGTCACGAGCTGTTTTCAGTATGCTTAAAGCAAATTTAAGTAACCATGCATATTCAAAACAATCTACGTCGAACAGGTCGTCTCAACTCAACATGCAACAATCACCCAATCGAATAAGATAATATCGCTGACAAAAATAAAAAGCCTCCACCCACTATTCAATTGCAACCAAAAGAACAACCTTTAGAAATTGGACAACTATACGCTTCAAATCTCACTTCTTTAGCCTGTTTTGGTAAAACGAAGGGATATGGCGTAACGGTGATGAAATGGTGTCATACGGAGTTGTGACGTTACATGTCCCGCTTTCCCGGTAAAAACTTCAGCTTTCAGCGACACTAATTTGAAATCGTTTGACTTCGAACACGGCAAGATCTCGTCATCCTGTTCGAAGAAAAACGACGCACGAATGAAACGGTAGTTAAAGACATTAAATAATTAAATCATTGCACCATCACAATGAAAAGCGGCTCACGTGACCATGATTTCTCTGTGAATAAAAAAACCACTCATAAAAACTTAATACGACGCTTTGATTTTGGATGCTAGGTTACAAAAGTTATTCGAAATGTCGCTGAAGCATAATTGAATAAGGAAAATTGTGTTTAGGGGGGAAAAAAACTTTAAAGAATAGCATTTTTTTTTAAAAAAACTTTCGTGAAACAATGGACAAAAAATTAAATCAATCAGTATCTGGAATATGTATGCAGGGGTCTGTCCAGACATTTTGTGAAAAGTCCGTTTTTTGTGAAATTGTGAAAAAATTACTCACATTCTTTCAACCAGGGTCCGCTTTTATGAATTTGTGCAAATAGGGTCCGTTATTGCAAAAAAAAAATTTCAAGGAGTTTTTAAATTGTAAAGACATACAAGATTATGCTCAACACTGTAAAATTATAATTAAAAAAATTAAATTTTAAAAAATAAACAACAATTGCTGCTTCTAAATTAGAGATGCAACATACAAATATTTGGTATTTAGCCTATACTGCTGAACGCAGAATATTAATTTCGGACGAATAATGGAAGAATCGTCTGCCGAAGACAAAACTTAATTCGTTTACATCCATCTTTCTTGTTTTCTGTCCTGGAAAGGGTTTATTCGATTAACAAAATAATAATAAACGATTAAAAGAAAAATCATTTTGTGAAGGGTCCGTTTTTAAGTTAAAATATTTTGTGAAGGGTCCGTTTTTATGAAAAGATATTTTGTGAAGGGTCCGTTAACGGACCCAAATTTCTTCTAAACAGATCCCTGGTATGTAAAGCACTCAAATACAAATACGAGACACCAACCAAACATAAATTTAATTTTTAAAAATGTAAGATAATTAATTTTGAAAATATTGACATTATAGTGTTTGATGTTTTGTGATAAAAAAAAGTTAGATGATAAATTTAAATCATTTCATATATTACGCGACGCGTAAAGTCTGCTTAGTAAATATTTAAAATTAATCTGCTTAGTTACTATTTTTAATGCTTTTAATTTAATCAACGAGGAATTAAGAGAAAAAATATTGTTTTGATAGATTTCATGTTTGTTTATCTAAAAATACTCATAAAAGTTCGATAAGGAAAATCATTCGCATTTTATAAAAATATTTTGAAATTTCTTTCTAATCAGCATAACTTTTAATTGAAAGTGGGACGGGGGGATTATTTGGTTAAAGCGCTTTGCAACAAATCATTGTGAAACTTTTAAATCATTGCCAAATTATTTTTCTTTAATTTAAACTCAACAAGACACAATTAACAATTATAGAAATATATAAACAAATTAATTTCGTACATTCAAAATTATGCAA